CTACAAAGCTACGAAGGTAGAATGAAGTTCAAAAACAGGGCTGGCTAAACACTTCATCGCTACAAATGATCAGTCCCATCAGGTCCTCATTTGTTTTAATCGAAGTTGTCAAAGGATTCACACCCACAGAAGACTTCAGTAGAAAGGAAGGAGAGGAAAAAACCGACGTTGAAGCCGTTCATCACACTGGCTATTTAGAAGGTCGCTAACTTACTGGGAAAGAGTTGTAATCATGGAGAGCATTTTTCACTATTCCATCTAGGAGAAGCTTAAATTCGATGATCACAATCCGTACAAGTGATTTTTCGCGTCAAAACTACTGAGTTTTCGTCTGGGAAGTAACTGTGCGCATGCATGAAAAGAACGCTTTTAGTCATCCTAGATATAGAAAACCCATATGCAAACGTAAATTCATCAATGCTTTACATACACTTTAAATAATCGTTGTTGAAAAGTAAGAGGTTGTTTGTATTATTTTAGCGGAATTTTAAGTTTAAAGTTATCGATCTTTACTTACGATACGTACCTTATAGATTTCTTTCATCACTTGTTTCACCTGCAGTCCGAAGATAAGTGGTTTGTTGTACGATGTTCCTGAACGTTCCCCCCGCCTACCCGACAGAGGTGTTTCATTATTACAAAGACCCTCCCCGCCCGCTAACAAAGTGTCGTGATTGGCTGGATAACGAGTTTTTTCAGCTCTTTCAGCAGCAGTTTGCGTCGAGGGGTTCTCCAACTTTCAAAAGATACGAGGAAAAGGTAATCTCGATTTAATTTACCAAAGAATTCTTAATAATCTTAGTTATTGTTAGAAAATGCTCGTGAAGACTGAGGTTCATACTCAGTGTAGGAAGTTAGTCACGTAAATCAGCGCATCATACAGTGAAACCGTATGATGCGCATCATACAGTGAAAATTCTGACGTCTTCTGTAATCTATTGCTGTAAAGACCCACGGCTACATGGAATTTATTTGTTTTACATGATAAAAAAGCAAATTTTGTTAATGGTGACGTCATCTAAGCGTCTGTCCTCCAATAAATCTTAAGATGCAAGTAGAAACCAATCTAAATGCTTGTAATATATATATTAAACCAAACCTAAAAGTGGAGCTCTAGCTCTTCACTTCATCAGAACTTCTCACTGGCTGTTGCTACTCCAATAACTGAAGGTTCACTATGTCCCCTTTCCCCTCAAATTGTGTCAGTACTGATGTATGTCATACTTTTGGGGAAGGGTATCAACCGCAAAAGCTGTTCTTCCCGCGAAATCATCAGCAGCGGTATATTGTTTGCCTATTTTTCATATCTAAATGATAGGAACAGTGCATGCATGGGTTCGCACGTGGTTTGACCCGTCCTTCACGCATTTGTAAGGGAAGAGCGCCCTTGGAACATGATTTTATCGCCAAGACTGTCTCGTTTTTAATCAAACGTTTTGTTTCGAAACGGGGGGTAGGGAGGAATTTTCCTCCTCGTCTGCGGTAAAATGCGCTGATGCACAGAACTAATCTCACGAACTCACGAGGTCGTTAGTTAAAAATAAACGTTATTTTCACTGCTGCAGCCTTCAGATTAGCAGAATATCTTTTTAAATCATAAATCACAATCCACGCCGCAACGATAGTTATAACCTTGGGAAATGGTGTTGGCCATCGACAGCTCCTTGCTACTTACTTTCCCTGCTCTACTTTAAGGACTTGAAATATGTTCCTTGTTCCAAAGTTTCAAAAGTTCCGGTTATATACACACACTGGGGTCGAGCTTGTTACTTCTCACGGGTTTAGTCCATTTAATGCCAGAGCTTGTCAAGGTTTTTGTCGGCATTAAGTGACCAGGAGCATTGGGTAGATATGAAAGCGGGACTACAATCTCTCCTCTACGATAAGATGTTAAGATAGACTGACCAGTAAATTTGAAGAAGGGATAGGGATTCACTTAAGGAAGCGAAGAAAAATACTACACCAAATTTGTTGAAAAATTTATGCCCGATTTGTTTTCACTTCGTTTTCAGCTTACGTAGCTCATAAGACATCGAGATATGATTATATGTCATAGTAATTTGCGACACTCTCTTTAGAACTTGAGTGTAAAACCTTGGACCGAGACAGGGAATTTCATTTCGTGATGGAGTCCTGCGTTTTACAATAAAAGAAAATACATATGATGTACGATCCTCGCAGTAGATAGCGCTATTTAAGTAATAGCGAAATTCAGACCTGAAAAAATCACGCCTCTGACCTCTGCGATACTAGTGCATCGCTCTACCAATTGAGCTAACAAGCCAACTGGGAGCAGGCCGTTAAGTTGATTCGTAATAAACCCGTGAAAGTGATAATCAGATACAATGAAATATATGAAGTTCATATATTTTGAACTGCGGTATTAGTTACATATGATGTACGATCCTCACAGTAGATAGCGCTATTTAAGCAATAGCGAAAATCAGACCTGAAAAAAATCAGGCCTGTACGGGATTCGAACCACTGACCTCTGCGATACTAGTGCAGCGCTCTACCAATTGAGCTAACAAGCCAACTGGGAGCAGGCCGTTAAGTTGATTCGTAATAAACCCGTGAAAGTGATAAAT